TTGTTGCCTTGCTGTAGGTGAGCCCGATCGTCGGCGTGGAGACGAAGTAGAGTAGCGCTCGATTGAGTTCTTCGAGATCTTCCTGTTGCGGCTGCTTCAGATGTGTCGCCAGCTGACTCGCACTATAGGATAGGTCGGGTCGGCAGGTTACTGCTGCGAATAGTAGGCAGCCGAGCTTCTGTTGATACTCCTGGATTTGTTTCGCGGGGAGTTTTGTGGAGGCGCTACTGTTGTTCCCGTAGCGGTAGGGAGTTGGGACCGCAGTCGGTGTTAGACCGAATTTCTTCGCGACGGTGCTTGAGTACTTTCCAGCGTGTAGGTAGAACGCCGTGTCGTCTTCGACGATTCAGTCCTAGGTACTGGGTCACTTCGTCGGACACCGTGAGAGTTAATCTTCTTTCAGCTCCCCTTCGAACCAGGGCGATGTCGTAGTGGAGCCGATGTAGAGCAGGTCGTCGACGTAGACGATGAGCAGAACATAATCTCTTCCCTTCTGCAGTCGGTACATCCCTTGGTCATGCGGTAACTGTAGGAAGCCGATTTTTACGAGACGGCCGTGGAAGATGCTGCTGCCAGAGCCGCGGGGCTTGCTTGATCCCGTATAGGGATTTTGTCAGTCGGCATATTTTCGTGGGTCGTCGATGAATCCGTGGGGTTGTTCGACGAAGATCTCAGCGTCCACAGGTGCGTATAGGAACGCATTCGCGACGTCGATTTGGCGTAGTGGTAGTTTTTCGTGGCCGCGACGGCGAGTAGGATGCGTAATGAGGTGTGACGGGAGACTGGAGCGAAGGTTTCTGTGTAGTCGGTTCCGTATCGTTGATCGAAGCCTCGTACGACCCATCGAGCTTTGAATCGTTCGATGGAGCCGTCTGAGTTGGTCTTGATGCGGTACACCCATTTCCCCGAGAGAACGTTTTTCCGTTGATGCTCGTTGCAGGTACCAGTTTCCATGTTTCTCGGTCTTGCAGAGCTTTTAACTCCTTTTCCATCGCTTCCTTCCATTTGCCTTATGTTCCCCCCCAGAGCCTGCGACAAGGTTGAAGGCTCACGCGGAGAAGGCGGCGGCGGATGCTGGACGGAGACCCAGAGGCCTAGAATCTGGAGTCCCGTGGGTGTGTCGAGGGGAATTTTCATTCCCGGAATAAGCTGCTTCGTCACCGTCTTCGGGTCAGGTAAGAAATTGGGCCGATGCGTTCCGAAATATTCGTGTCGACGGGGTGGGTGTAGCGTAACCTTGGTCGGCGAAGTGGTAAAAGGTGTCGAGGTTGTTGCTATCGAGGGGATTATCTTCATCGAGTGGAACAGGTACGGAACAGAATGGGAGTGGTCCGGCAGCTTCCGAGGCTCCAGGTACGTCTTCTTCTGCTGCGTCAGCCTCGGCAGCATGGTCAGCGAAGGAGCGAAGGCCCGCGAAGCCGTCGGTGGGGTCTTGTGTGTTGGCAATGTTGTCCAGGTAATGCTGCAGCGTCAGTCGCTCGTAGAAGATAACATCACGTGATGCCACCGTGTTTTTGTCTTGTATGTCGAGAATTTCCACGCGTGAAAATGTTTGGCGATGCCGAGGTGTAGTCCCCACCGAGCTCGTTGTGAGAAGCGTCCTGCTCGGCTGTGTGGGGTCTGTACTGTACCATGCAGCCGAAAACTCGAGTAATTTTGTGCTGCCCCTTTTTCTTGTCCACACAGGTGCGGTGATGCGTTGTTGGGAAGCGATGACGAGGACAGCAGGTTGTGCAGGACATGTGTCATCGCGTCTGGCCACAGTGTGGTTGGCAGCCTCATCCCCAGAAGCAGTTTTCGCATCGTCGTCTGCAAGGTCCGGTTCATGCGTTCTGCTACCCCCTGCTGCTGGTGAGCATAGGGCAGGACACCAGGCGTCTGATTCCCTTTCCGCAGATAGGTCCTGAAGCGTTGTGACTGGTATTCCAGTGCACCGTCTGACTGGAAGCTCTTGAGTTTGGTTCCTGATTCTCGTTCGGCGATGGGAAGCCATGTTGTGAAGGCTCGAAGGCTTGATCGCGCGTTTTGAGATTGAAGTGCCAGACGTATCTGGTTGCGGCGTCGATGAACGTGATGACGTAGTTGAAGTCGGCTTCGGTGTCGTCTCGAGGCATGTTTAAATATCGCTGTAGACTTTTCCATCGGAGCGTAAGTAGGTGCGCTTGGTTGTGATGGGATGGGAAAGGTTGATGAGGAAGATCTGCTTCGGGGCATGTGAAGCACCGTGCGCGTGGTCGTCGAAGTTCTTGGCCGCTCGTCGTCAGAAGGGCGTTGCGTTCTAACACCTCTGCTTGGATTGTTTGAAGTATCGTGCTGTTTGCAGGATGTCCGAGACGTTGGTGCCAGATGTCGTCGGGAGCGCGGTGACCGGGCGAGCGGTGGTAGATGTCGGCGTTGGAGAAGAACGCGACGACCGAGGCGGGACTTCGACAAGCTTCTCGTGTGGCGGGCATAAGTTGGTCTGCTTCGTTGGCGGTCCTCGTGTTGATGGTGGTGGTACTCGGCTGGGTCCTGCTGCCGATACTGCAGGTGATGGTTTTGTTGGGACACTTGCGGGTACTTGTCTTTCTTGTCTGATAACTGCTAATGCTCGTGTTCTCTCTGCTGCAGGTATGGTGTTGGAGTGCCAGAAGCCGTCACTGTCGAAGTCGGGATCAAGATCCGGCGGGTGAGTCCAGGCGGCGAACGATACGATGCCATCGCTGTCGGCAGTTCCGCGGTCGGGGACGAAGTCCAACACGAAGACACCGGACTTCAGGAGGGCACGACCGATGAAGAGGCCGCCCTTCCCGTGGTAAAGCCGGAACTCGTTGGAAGGAGTCGCACTCCAGGTGAATCCCTTGGCCATTAGTTGGCTTACGCTTAGTAGGTTGTATCCCAGATTGTCGACAATGAGACTTTGTTGAGCTGAAGTATACGTTTGTCTCCATGGATTGTAACTGAACCACGCCTTGTCTGTTTGTCTTCAGGTTTTCGTTGTTGGCGACGGTGATGACGACGTCGCGGTTGAGTCGTTTCTCCTGTTGCACGAAGCGTCCGAGGAGCACATGTGTTGACCGCAGCAGCTGTCCAAGAACCAGGTGTTTCGCCCGGTGGGTTCGGCGTTGGCGACTGCAGCGTATGTCGGGTTGACCTGAAGTCCTTGCGAGCGCGGCGGGAATTCCTCTTCGTCTGGTGCGTAAGTGGGTGGTGAAGGTGCGCAGTTGTCGATGTGTACCATGCAGTTGATGATGTTGGGTGTTTGTTGTGCAGATGTTGAAGAGCGCCTTGGAGGACTTGCTTGAGTGGAAGCGACTTGTGGGTCTGCTGCACGGTAAACGCGAGGGCGGTTGCAGTTGACCTTGGAGTGCCCGGAAGTCTGACAGTTGTGGCAGAACGGCGGCACGATGGTGAGTCCTCGGTTGTCGCGTTGATCTTGCTTGCTGCGTCGGTTGTAGTTGTTGTCATTTCTTCTTTGAGTGTAGAAGACTAACTGCTGTTGCTTCCTTGGTTGTCTTTCCTCGAACAGATCCATCTCCTGTTGTTCAGCGTGAAGCTCGGCGCAGAGGTGCATCTCCGAAATTCTTCCGTGGGCTCGAAGAAGTGATCGTGTGGTTCTCCATTCTGGCCCGAGCCCGGCGAGGACAAGTGTCACGAAGCTTTCTTCAGTGATCGTTCCTCCGCACCGAAGCAGGCGGTCGCGGAGGGTCTGGCAGCGACTCATATACTGCATCGCCTTTTCCCCGGTCTTCATCTGTATTGTTGTCAGCTGTTGCATGAGTCTGCTTTGTGTCACGCTGTCGTTTGCTTGGTAAAGGCACTTGAGTGGTGCCATGCGAGCTCCGCGGAGTTTCCATAACTCCGATACGTTCTGATGCTCTGCTGCTCTTGTGGTGACAGGTTTCTCAGGAGTACCGTGTACGCCAGCAGCGACTGATACGTGAAGATCTCTTGTTCCTTCCCAGTGCCGTTGCTTGGGAATGGCAGGGACCCGTTGAAGTATCCCAGAAGATGCGCGGCCTCCATCAGCAGCTCGAACTCGAAGCTCCAGGTAAAGAAGTCGTGTCCGTTGAACGGTGAGGATGTCTGAAGTTTGATCACGTGTGAGAACTGCGCCTGTAAACTTAAGATTTCATTCGGTGTTTGTTGTGATGCAGCTGCTGTTGGCTGGGCACGGGGCGGCATGAATTCGAACGTCCCCGGCGAAGAATGATAAGGCGCAAAGGTAGGCGCTTGGTTGTGTCGCCCGAAGGATGAGTTGTCGAGGCTCATCGGCGCTAATCCCATATTCCTCCATTGCTCTGTGTTGATGCGCAGGTGTCCTTGTCTGCTGCTGCTGGTCGAAGTGTGACATGAAGCTGAAGAATCTCTCCATGAGATTCGGGTCCACACTTGAAGAGGGAGACGGAGTCACCATCTCTGGTACTCTTCCCGTTGTTTCTTGAGCAGTCCCGGTCTCTGTCTGCAGTCCTGAGGTGTGCAGACCAGAGTTGCCGTGTTGAGTTTCTTGGGCGCTGGGTGAGCCCGTAGAGACTTTCTTGCCCTTGTTGTCCATGTCTTGTAATCAATGAGTGTTGAATCAAGTTGAGTTGCAGGTTGTTGATGGAGCGTAGTTGCTGGGAGTTTGGTCTCTGACCAGCTCTCATACCATGTTGGGCTGAGAAAAGCCCTTAGGATCTTTTGCAGAGACTAAGTCCCAGCTGTAGAGACTTGAGACTTGGAGTAGTGCAGCGGAAGTTGAGGCAGTTGAACCCTTGTACTAGTATGTGAGAACAAGTGATTGATTAAAGAAACAAGCATACAGCAATATATAGAAGATAAGAAAGCAGTTGTAGAATACAGTTACAGGAACGGTTTATCGAGTCGCACAGCGACTCGATTGCCGCTTCGGTTACCATCCGTGATGTTGTAACGGTCAGTCGCAACCTCCAGTTGCGACCTTTCGAGTCCTTTCGCATTCTTTGTCCGCCCCCTCGTGTAACCTCCGTTGACTCGCGTGCTCCCCTGTAATCTTCCTCGAGTACAGTGTTACACTTCAGAAACGCTTAAGTCCTTGAGATATTTCCAACACAAGTTTCGCGACATTCCAAAGGCTAGTTTTTTGTCGACAACGTTTCTTATGGAGACGACTTTTCTGTCCAGAATTTCGGATTTCTATTTTTAGTAATTCTAGCTCCAAAGTTCACCTAGACTCCGTCCTTAATCCTAACACCGAGGAAACGCTTGTCAAATCAGCAAAAATCCTGAGCCATCGCATACGAATCAAAGGCCCGGAACGTCACGTTGACTTTCTAACGATGGACTCATTGCACCAGCTGCTACCGAACAAGCGCATCTTGGACTCACCCATGTATGACGACCTTCTCGAGCCACTCAAGGTCAGATGTAGGGTGTGCAGTGCAGTGAGGAGGCCAAGAGGCGGCACATAGTAGTAAGGGAAGTCGGAGTTTGACTCAAGGAAGGAGGGGGAGAGAATGAGAGTGCGCAGGACCTCAGCTGCAGCACCGGCTGCCAGAGATGGCCCCCTGAGCTCTGCCTTCAGCTGGTGAGCACAGCTGTGAGCAGCGAGAGCAGCGAGAAGTAGAGCATGCGGTCCGCCACACTGCCGGGCTGCAGTGCGGTGGAGCAGGGGAAGGGCATGGCGGACTGAAGCACCACTGAGCACACCACCTACTCCCATCTGCTCCTGTACTCGCTGCTGCACCTGACACTGAGCGCAAATTCCTGCGTTCTTCTCTGGTTGCCTTGTCTGTCACTTCCCCTGCCATCAGCAGGGGGCCTGGAAAGCTGCGGTTCCAGTGGCGTGTGAGGGAGGGGCAGGCGGGGTCACGGAAGGAGGGGCGCCATGAGAGGGAGTGAGGGTGGAAGAGGAGGGAGAAGGAGAGCACGGAGTGAGTGAGGAGCGCCGCCACTCCCTGCTCCACACACATGCCGTGTGCCACGTCCTCCCCCGCGCAAGCCAGCGGCGCCAGCAGCGCCAGAGCCACTGTGGAATCGCCGCTGGCTCTATTGGTCCCTGCTCACCTCCTCTTCCTTCTCTCCATCGCTGCTCACGTTTACTGCTGCTCTTGCCGCTGCTGCTGCTCTTGCTGCTGCTGCTGCCGCCATCTGGTTTTGACTCTCTCTTATTACAAGCCTCCGCGTGCTGCTCGATAACAATCAACTTCTTGTGCTCGCCATACGACCGCTCATCATCTTTCCCTGCTGCCTTATCCACATCCCGTCTCCTCGCCCACTCCCCTGCTTCCTCGCACTTCCCCGCTGCTCCCCCGCCATGCGCTGCTCCCTGCCATGCGCTGCGCTGCCGCCTCTCGAGCAGCTCGCTTCACTCACGCCGCGGCAGCAATCTCCGCCAGCACCAACCCGCCACGTGTGCTGTTACCATTACCGCCATCGTCAGCGTCATCATTGCTATCACCCGCGCTGGCTGTGCCTCTGCTGCCCCTCCACTGAAACTGCTTGCCACAGCCGCCGTGCTGCTCCTCTGTGGCTGTCCTCCGCCCCTCTCCAATGCTGTGCCCGCCGCTGTTTGCGGCGCGAGCAACGCGTGAAGCGCGATGTTCGGCCGCCGCCTCTCAGCGCGGCCCTTGGGATTGCCGCGGGCAGCAACACTTCCGCCGCGATTCCGATGGCCATCCACTCGACGCCATGTGTCTCGTCTGGCACCACCCCTATCTCGCGCCATTGCTACGATGTCCGTTGCCGAACCGCCTCGTGTGCGGGGTGCGAGAGGGCCTGTGACGCGGTAGAGAAGCGTCGGACGGCAGGAAAGAGGGTGCGAGAGGACATGGAAACGGGGAAGGGAGGTGATCGCGGGGAGAAGAGAGGGAGTGAGAGCGAGAGGGGTAGCGTGTGCAATAAGGAGCGATGATGGCCGCACGTACGACCCGGCTGGAAGTGAGCCGAGTGGCAGGACGAGCAAGTGGCTGTCATCGTCACTTGTAGTTGCTTGCGCGTGTGCATTTTACTTCGAGAAGGCTAATATTGGTGTAGCAACATCGTACGATAAGGGAGGTGAGCATGCCAGGAGCGTGCAACGGGAATGCTGCTGGGCATGCGCCGAGCGCGCGATGATTGCGGACACCTGCCAGGTGCGCAAATGGGAATGCTGAAGGGCGGCCGCGTTTCTGATGCGCATACCTTGAGCCAGCTTGAGGGAGACGGAGCTGGTTCGGTACAGGAAAGTGCTGGTACGTACTCCTTCGACTCCCGCCACAGGCAGTGCCACCTAATGAGCGCCTCGTTCTGGCTTCCATAAAGAGCACCTACAATAACACTTACTCCTAACAGAAATTGGCAGTTTGATGGCTACTGGAGCGGGAATCAGGCTTGCTGTCCTTGCTTGTGGGCAGCTTTTTGCGGCCTGCACTGCACCACACCGCAACGCTCGTGCCAACGACAGCAAGGATGCGTGGAGAAGGTTGTTGGCGTGGCGAGAGTTGAATTTCTTGAACCCGAAACCTCGATCGCTAACGTTTACAAAAAAAATTGACTGCTAAGCAAGTGATTGATGATAAGCAGCGTGTGTAGAAGCATTGGTGATCGAGGAAACAACACAACTGAGCAACATCAAAACACCAAGGAGCATGGATATAGCTAGCCTAGGAGCACACGGTCGTGGCTTGGCAGAGCTGCGACGTGTGGTTTCGTAAAATGGCACGAAGAGCCCAGATCTAGCATGCAACAGCAAGGCGGGCAAATTGCATGCGGCTCGTCAGGAGACCACATTTGGTACCATGATTTGAATTTGGTGACAGAACTGCGCAGCAACCCGTTATAGCAGTATACGCCTTACTGAATAAAACCCGTGATAAGGAAATACCATTTCCTTACACCCTCCCCCTCTCCAATGTATGGTCTTAGTTAAGACTGCCGATGTCCCGCACATTGCGTGACTGGACGTAGACTTGTACCGGGTAATTCTCTATCTATGCTAGGGCACCGAGCTGTTTTCCAGGGACGTTCGTATCAGAATTAGAGAAGTGTGTTGATAGAGTGAGTACACACAGATATACCTAAGTGTTGTACCCTCTAAGAGGCTACCCTATACAGTCTATACAAACATGACAAATACACATGTTTGACACACCCCCTAGACTGCATAGGGGAATGTCCTAAACAAGCAGCTCAGGGCGGCACTACTAGTCCAACCTCTGAGACAAGGGTCTGAGAGACCAGTCAGAAGGAGTACAGACAAGGCAAGAACAAGAGCAGGGCGGCACTACTAGTCCAGCCACTGGGAGAGGACACAAGTCCAGTCTGAGTATACATATAAAGGACAGTACAAAGTCAAGGTCCTAGCAAGTGAGAGGCTACAGGAACTAGACCAAGCTGTACACAGTGCCGCTGATGATCTTTAGGCGCAAGCGCCTTCGTAAAGATATCAGCCGTGTTGGCACCTGAGGCCAAGTGTACTACGCGAGCCTGACGTCGCTGCTGTAGCTCACGCAGGAGGAAGTACCGCAGCTGAATGTGCTTCGCTCTGCCCTCGAGTCGAGGCTCCTGACACAGGAGGATCATGGCCCTGTTGTCAGCGAACAGGACCGGGGCAGAGCTAGGCCGCTCACCTAAGTCAGTGAGCAAGAAGGTCAGCCAGCGGAGCTCCTGTGCCGCCATGGCACCAGCGTAGATCTCAGCCTCACAGCTGGACTGTGCAACAGACGAGGAGCGAGTAGCTCTCCACGAGACGGCACCTGAGCCAAGGCTGAAGCAGTAGCCCTGGGTAGACCTGAGTGTCTCAGCGTCGTCTGCCCACGAAGCGTCTGTGTGTCCAGTAAGGACCACTGGCCTGCGTCCTCCTAGCACTAACCCCATGCCCGATGTACTAGCAAGATAACGCAGAACCCTCTTAGCGGCAGACCAGTGCTGCGGTCGGTGTCTGCCTGTGGCCACAAAGCGAGCCAGGATGCTGAGAGGGTATGCGAGATCTGGGCGAGTGCAAGTCATCAGGTACATGAGGCAACCCACCAGCTCTGCGTAGGGGCCGCTGGGCTCTACCAACTCCTCAGGCACTGGAGCGGAGAGCCTGTGGTCTACAGGCAGAGGGGTGGGCTGTGCAGAGGAGAACTGAAGGCTGAACCTCTGAAGGACCTGGCGCACCAAGTGTGACTGAGTCAGGGTGATGGTGCGCGCAGCTCTGTCCCTGGAGATCTGCAAGCCAAGGTAACGGCGCAGTTCTCCAAGGTCAGTGCAGGTGTGTCTCTTCAGCAGCTCTGCCTTCACGGAGGCCAGTGCGTCCCTGTCTGCTGTGGCAAAGACCAGGTCGTCGACGTAAACAAGGATGTAGAACGGAGTCTGGCCAGCACGAACGAAGAGTGAAGGGTCTGCGGAAGACGGAAAGAACTGCAGGTCAGCAAGCGTAGCACGAGAGTGTCGTGCCACTCACGGGGAGCCTGGCGCAGGCCGTAGACGGGGCGCCGCAGGAGCCACTGGGTCCCAGGAGGGAAGGTGCCAGTAAAGCCCGGAGGGCGCGCAGGTAGACCTGCTCGTGTAGGCTGCCCTGAAGGAAGGCAGTGGAGAAGTCGAGGGAGTGAAGCTCGTAGTCACGCTGAGCAGCTAGGTGTAACAGAACCCGAAGAGTAGTCATCTTCGGGGTCGGAGCGAAAGTCTGGAAGAAGTCCACCCCCTCGCGCTGACTGAAGCCTCTAGCCACATAGCGCGCCTTGAAGACAGGCGGCTCTCCAGGAGGGCGCTTCACCTTGAAGAGCCAGCGGCCATCGACTACGTTCACCCCAGGTGGGGGAACTGCGTCGACGAAGGTGCCGGTGGATCTCCAAGATGCCATCTCCTGCTCCATGGCAGCTATCCACTGCGAGGCCCAGGGTCCCGAAGTCGCCTCAGCGTAAGTGCGAGGGTCGGGATGTCGAAAGCGTCTGGGTCACCCTCAGGGACTAGCAGCATGGAACAGAGATGGGGAGCAGCCTCGGAGAGGAAAGCAAGCTCGAACTGGCGGTCCTCCAGGACGTCACTGCCAAGGGCAGGAGCACCCCCGACAGACGGAGGACAGGCAGGGTCAGAGACCAGAGCGGTGGCGTAGTCAAGGCGGCGGGTAGAGGCGAAGTCAGCGACAGCAGCGACAAGAGCGTCAAGGCACGAGCCGGAACAGACGGGTCGGTAACGAGAGAGGCAAGGACCCGAGGAAAAGGACGAGCGGCACGAAGGTAGTCAGACAGCGGGGGGGCGCAACAACAAGGGAGGACGGAGGAGGCGACGGCAGAAGGGGAGGACGAGACGCGTGGAACGAAGCAACATAGGGTGGGAGCGCAAGACAGGCGAGGCAGGACGAGCACGGGAGGGACGGTGAGACCAGACGTGCGACGGAGGAGTCGGGTCAGGAGACAGGGGAGGGGACACAGGAGGGAACGAGGGGGGAGACGGGCCGGGGACGAGTCCGGCGGAGGGAAAACAGGGCCGTAGACAGGAAGAGGAGGAGACGGTCGGGGAGGAACCGACGCAGGGTCGGGGGACGGAAGGCCGAGCAGGCGAAGGGGACACCGGCGGGGACTGCTGCTGCGGCGGCACAACGGCGACACCTGGACCGCAAGCTGCTCCTCGGCTACCACCGGCACTCTCCACACCAGCACCCCCAGAGGGACCACCCCAGGGCGACCGGGACGAGCACCCCCAGAGTCAGCGAACGGGTGCGGCGGCGGCGGCGGCGGCGGCGAAGCGGCGGCAGAGGCGGTGGAGGGGGGACTGGGGAGGGGACGCCAGGGGAGGGGCGGCCGGCGAGGACTGCAGGAGGGCCACCAGAGTCAGAAGACTCCTCAACCGGGTCCACGGACGGAAGGGGGGTGACGTGGGACACACCAGAGGGGGCGGGACGGGGAGGAGGAGGAGGAGGGGCAGGGACTACCGGGGAAGGAGTGACCAGGAACAGGGGGGGGTAACCGGGGGACCACGGTGGGGGAAGCGACGGTAGTAGGAGACGGACTCGTCAAAGGTGACGTCGAGAGTGAGAGTAGAGAAGCGGTGAGACGGCGGGTGGTAAAAGTGCCAGTCGGACGCGTCAAGGGGAAAACCGAGGAAGACGCAGGGAAGGGTGCGGGCAGTGAGCTTGTCCGTGCCGGAGGCACGGACGTGAGCAAGGCAGCCCCAGACGTGGAACGCAGACGCGTCACCAGGAGACCCAGTCCAAAGACGGGTCGGCGAAACCTGCGGCTGCTGAGGGTGCGGCCACAGTTAAGCTGGTGAGAAGCGTAGCGCACAGCGAACGGCCACAGAAAATGGGGTGCACCGGCATGGATCATGGAGGTGCGAGCCACCTCCATGACCAAACCGATGCGTCGCTCAGCGACCCCATTCTGCTGTGGGGAGTCCGGTAGGGTGAACGTCTGGGTGATGCCCTCCGCACGACAAAAGCGACCAAGGACACCTGAGGCAAACTCGCCACCACGGTCTGAGTGAAGACGCAAGACAGGGAGACCGCGGTGGACACGCGCAGAGACAAGCCAGGGGATGAGAGCGCCAGGCACGTCGGCCTTGCGCTCCAGGGGAAAGACTGTGGTGTAACGAGTGAAGTCGTCGACAAGCACAAGGAAGTAGCGCTCGCGACGCGGCCCAGGGACGGGGGCGGGGCCCCAGACGTCCAGGTGCAGGGTCTGCAGCGGCGCGGCGGTAGGGGGAAACGAGGAGGAGTGAGGGGCACGGCGAAGCCGACCCTCGACACAAGGCGTGCAAGGTGGGGCTGGGGAGGAGGGAAACGCGGGGAGGAACCTGGGAGACCAAGGACAAGACCGTGCTGGGACATGTGACGCAGACGCGGGAGCGCAGGGTGACCTAGGCGGTGGTGCCAAAGGAGGTCGGGTGAGTGAGGGACCGACAGGAGCAGGCAGCAGCAACCTGGGGTGAGCGCTCCAGCCGGGGGGGTCACGGTGTCCAGAGTGAACAGGCCGGACACCGGGTCCCGGGGGAACGTGGACAGGGGGCACCAGTGGCGGCCTCGGTACAGACAGCATACCGCTCGTGACCAGGGAACGTAGTGGTGACGCCAAGGTCCTGGAGGCAGCCGACACCAACTAGGTTCCTGGAGAACGAGGGGATATGCAGACCTGTAAGAGAGCCCGAAGGAACCGCCGGACAGGGAAGGGTGGTGGAACTGCGGGCGACTACCGGACCGCCGGAGGGGTCAGCAAGAGAAACGGCAGCAGGAACAGGAAGCGGCGTCAGGGTGGTGGAGTCGCGGAAGAAACACCGAGAAGCGCCAGAGTCCAAGGTGAAGGAAAGCGAAGCAGAGGGGTCTGGCGACGGAACGACGGCGGAAGCACCAAGACTACACAAAGCAGGGGATCCTACGCCTGACGCAGCAGGGGAGGCTAAGCTAGGCACACCTACACTAGGCAACAGTGAGTAATAAGCGGGAAGCACACTAGAGTCATCAGCATACATCACATGCAG